TTATTTCTTTCCATGGATTTATATTTTTTATGGATTCATATTTTAATATTTTAATTACTTTTTCATTATTTTAAAAGGACAGTTTTAACTAGACATACACAACCAGATAGTAAATGCGGACCAATTTTAATAAGATGTGAAAAAAAAGAAGCCAATAAAAATAAATAAATAAATAAAAATTATATTCACGAGATATGATAGCACTGGATTACATGGATACCAATGGCAAGAAATAATTCTTGATCTGACAGTTAATCTATGAAAATAATCTATGAAAAGAATTATTTGAAAATATTAGAGATGGAATTCCTAAGTTCATATAAAGGCAAGTTTAATGGATGGGTCAGGAAAAGATAAAAAATAAATGTCAGTGTGGGCTATTAATGTACTTAATTTCTTGAGATAAGCTGCTCGGGTAGAGCCAGAACAGTGAAGTCGGCAGATGTTATGGAAACAAGTTTATTTATAATTTTATGAAGAAGAATATCTCGTAGCTGTTTACAGCAGTTTTCAAAAGATGACCAGCCGAGGATGTTAATTATGAATATGACACTGCTGCAACTGCGGTAGTCATTTTGGACAAATCTATTGTTTTTGGTAGGGTAGCGCAATATTCAAGCTTTGGCCCAATAAGGGTAATGAATATGCCAATGCTTTTGACTTTTGGGGACCGTTTTGAAATTATGTTTTAGGAAGCCTAATGTTGAATTGGCTTGATTTGTAATTGTGCTAATGTGGATGTTCCAATTCATATTTGGGAATTCAATACCTAGGCATTTAGTGTGGTTCACATGTTGAAGAGGTGTCTGTATCATGGAATAAAAGATATATACTAGGGGTTTTACTACAATAAAAGGAAAGGACAAAGCATTTTCTCTTGTTAAATCACATTCCCCAGGTATAAACCAAGTCAATTAGATTGTTTGGTGGCCCCAAAAGACAAAATCTTACACAGTCGTCAGTGTAGCGATGGATAAAAGATTTTATATTTTCAGGATCAAGACTTTATAAAACATATGAACACGGTAGGACGAAGCACAGTGCCCTGTTGTGTATGAGGAAGACTTACCATCCACACAAGAACTCGTTGGGATCTTTCAGTGATTAAATATTTGATCCAGCATAAGATTTGTCCATCAATGCCATATTTTTTTAAGGGATGAAGAAGAGTGTAGGGTACGCAATCAGATGCCTTGCTAAAGTTATAAGAGTGATGAAGTCTGTTTTCTAAAATTATTTTTTAGTCAAGGTTTTTAAGGATGCCGTTTGTGGTGATGATGACTTGGGACTCACATGAATGACCAGCATGAAAACCATGTTGAATGTCAGTGAGGATTTTGTGTTTGTAAAGATGTTCAAAAAAGATGACGACATATAATATGTTCCATAAGTTTACATGTGCAGCTGGTAAGAGATATGGGCCTGTAGTTGGCAGGATCATGTTTGTTTATTTTTCTAACCCTTTATTTACCCATGATAAATCCCACGTAAAGATTTCCCAGGTTTCCTCAATGGGCTTTATGGAACCAGTAATTTTATCGCTAAGGTTTGACATGTCAATGTGTATGTTTTCCCAATTCGCTTTATTAAATAAAAAGATTTCCCTCCGTTTAGGTTTTGAATAATTTGGTTTTAAAAGACAATCTGCAACACCATGTCATGGTTTCAACCAGTCAGCAGCATGTCTCACCCCCCACCCCCCCCCCAAAAAAAACATGTAAGTATTTCATTTTTTTAAAAAATTTATACAGATATTATTCTTCTGAAGACGATTGAAGTAACTCAATCGAAACATAATTATCTCAACGAACAACAACAGTTCTTTTCAGAACTATCTGTCGCAAACAATAATATATGTTTTTACTTCGCCATGCAAACCTTCAAACAATATATCATTACAAGCATATAACCATCTTATGCTTACGTGGATATAGCGGTTTCTTGGATATCAAGCAAAATGACTACATTACCCGTATTTTTAAAGACTAAAATTATTCAATTCAATTCAAACTAACATTTATTTTCATTAATTGACATGTGTTACAATAAAATATACAAGATGATAAAAGAAGAATGAGTGAAAACATGCAATGAAAGAACATTCACCATCTTTAAATTCATAATGGCAGCTGATGACATGGATAAAAATGGCACCTAACTTTTGAATTCAGCACACCAAAAATGACAAAGTTAGCCAATAAAATCCATTTTGGCGCAAAAAATCTAACTGGAGCCCAATTTCTGACATAGCAAACCATACTATGCTTTTACCTTATGTCTTTTGTACTTATAAATTTCTGAAGAGCTATGCTCGAAGGGTATTATTTCAAATAAATATTGGCAATATATTTACGCTTTGTGTTATTATATATATGAGGCATGTTGTGGCAAAATGGCTAAGTTGTAGCAAAAATTGAAATTCAAGTTATTGGTATTTTTAGATACCTGAGTATATGATCTTTAAAATTAGGGGGGTCATTCATTGAAATTTGACATTACAAGCCTAAGTTATTAGAAAGTGAAAGCACAGTACTCTTTGAGTCAAGATAAACAGGATTTTGAGTAATTGCCTTTCAAAGTTATTTGTGCATACATTGTTTAATAGAATGAACTATGAAAAATAACGTTAAATAAATAATTTGTTAACCACTTCCAGAACTAATACTTTGGGGACATGATTAATAAGACATTAACCTGTTGATCTATTAGTGAAAAACAAATTTGGATTTTTTTGAAATTTTTTAAACTCCCATATTTTATAGCTCATTTACTAAATACTGGACTGTGCTACAACTTAACAATTTCGCCACAACATGCCTTATATATATATATATATTACTTTTCTTTATTGATTTATATATATATACATATATATATATTTATACATAGGCCTATATATACATATATATAGGCATATATATATATTATGCGAATTTTCTTCTTTTTTGCTCAAGGAACCCCTGACCTCCCCCACCCCTCAGATTCGCAAATGGTCAGATTAACAGGGATAAAATTATCGTAACTGTTGTTGCACTTTCATCAATAGTTTTTCCCTCCTTCCTTTATTTTCTTTATTTTTTTTTAGTGGACCGTATATAGGAGACTAAGGGGTGGGGCGACAGCTGCGCCCCTCCTGGCCGATATCCGCCTCAGCAAGTTGCCTCAAATAAGTTGAGCTAATAATTCGTAATTACAAACTATTAATTCGAAATTATAAATTATTAATTCGAAATTACGAGTTAGTAATTCGAAATTACGAGTTAGTAATTCGAAATAACGAATTAGTAATTCGAAATAACGAATTATTAATTCGAAATAACGAATTAGTAATTCGAAATAACGAATTAGTAATTCGAAATAACGAATTAGTAATTCGAAATAACGGATTAGTAATTCGAAATTACGAATTAGTAATTCGAAATTACGAATTAGTAATTCAAAATTACGAATTAGTAATTCGAAATAACGAATTAGTAATTCGAAATTTCGAATTAGTAATTCGAAATTTCGAATTAGTAATTTACTTTACTGAATTATTAGGCCTTGCTTAGGCTACCTTGTTGTAGGACCATGCTAAATACCTGTGTGCCATGGCCTGCTAACCATGATTTGCTACGTTAAGTCCAGATTTAATTTCAATATAAAACACCAAGGCATGCTATTTTGTCCCAGGGTAAAAGTATCCGACACTTCATTCAGAAATTACATTGTATGTCGTATCCCATTATTAAAAAAACATTTCCCAGGGTAAATCCACATATATATGTTCGAAGTTAACATGTACACCTGTAAATGCCCACCACTTTATTGCTTTACATTCATATTTGAATCTTATGTATGTTCATTTTCAGCCTTTTTTTTTATTTTGAACTAACTCATCAGTAATTGACCTGTCTCCTTCTTTGCAGTGATGACACGCACTTCTAAATAACTCGGATGAATATATGTTCTCCGAATAAAGGCCCAAATTTTCCAGGAATTAGGATACACGCGCTCAGCGACTTCGAGAGGAAAACTCAGTGAATTGCTCACTGAATATTCTAAAATAACGTTTGTTTATAGATAAAGGTCTTGCATTATTTTGTTACTACCCCCACATAATATTATTATCATTGCATTTAACCATGTATAGGCTTATGCTATGTTGTGTGGATGCCTATAATGACGTATGCGGCAATAAAATAAATTGAATAGAATAGAATTGAATCATGTTTTAGTGTAATATAATGTATACAGAATATTGTTATGAAAGAAAATGTTCATGAAAAATCCAGATACACTACAATAAGACACACATCTGCATATTGAAGAACATGAAATTAAACTCAAAAACAAAAACTCCTGTATAAGGCAGTATAGACACAAGCTTCCGCTGGGAGCCTATTTTTCTCATTGTTTAGTTTTCTAGCAATCAAACCCTCTATTTATTATCACTGTAGGATAGACTAGCTAGATGTAATTTTCACTAGTTCTGTTCAAGCGAGCCTTTAACATGGTTTGAAAGTGTCGAAGAACGGAGCAGTGAAATAATTTAGTGTATTATGCCCAATAATATTAATAATAATAATAATAATAATAATAATATTATTATTATTATTATTATTATTATTATGATTTTAAGAATGTTCAATAATAAGATTAGAAATATTATTATTATGCTTTTAAGAATGTTGAATAATATAATAAGATTAGTAATAATAATAATAATAATAATAATATAGAATAAATATAATTACTTACTCAATGCTTCTAATATGAATTCAAAGAGCACTAAACACATCAAAATCCGCGTTGTGCGTTTCTCCATGTCTTTACCAAATGACTGTCATCGTCAATGTAAATTTCATTTTATTCAAGGTTGAGTACCGTAATCACGTACTAAACAAGCATTTATAAATGAACAATTCGCAGAGTATATTACTATAGTTGGCAATTGCTTCAATTGACTGTCAATGTGAATTTCATTTTATTCAAGTAACTTGCAGTACCGTAATCGATATTACGTACTAAACAAAGCATTTATAAATCAACAATTCGCAGTATTACTCATAGTTAGTAATTGCTCCAATTGAGGTAATTCATGTTCGCTTCCTTTTGTTTTCTGTTTGTTGCATTAATAACTAATTGGAAATTCTAATCTAAAGTAATTAGAATGATATGTTTTCATTCTTTCTAATAATATTTAATACAAAGAAACATGCATTTGAATACTTATTACATTTTCTGTGAACTATAGTCGCAGACAGTCAGTGAAGTTAAAGGTAAATGATTATGGATCCTGCTCCTATTATTCTCCAGGGAGTCAACGTCCTTGACTACGTTTAAGGACTGCCTAAAAAACTTCTTTTACTATTTAATTTGCCTTTTTATTTATTACATTTTGTTTTATTATTATTGTTGTGTTTATTATTGTTGTTGTTGTCATCATCATCATTATCATCATCATCATCATCACATCATCAATATCCTCTCATTAGGTTTTTAATTTAAAAATATAAACATTTGCAATGTACGTACGTGTATGCCTAGCATTAAATGGGAGCGTGAAGCGTACAATATCGATGCCCCAGATAAAGCCTTTAATTTCCCGAGACGAACGCCCTTCTATTGAATTACCTAGGCCTATTTGTAGGCAGCTGAGATACATATAGAATGTTGTTTCTAAGATAAAAAGTTCAAAATGATGTAGGTTACATTCTGATATCCACAGAAGTGTCAGGAAAAATTTGGTCCGGGGCCAAAATCGGTCCACATCGGACCCATTTTGTCTTAAAATTACCTGCCAACTTAGTCCAAGCCTATATCGGTCCGGGGTCTATTTAGTAGTTATAACTTGTATATTAATAACGTTGTTATATATATTTTTGAATCAAATGATAGGTAAATATGTTATCTTTCATTATATGTTTTTATTTATGTGTGAGGTGAAATTAAGTAAAGCTTCGCGCGCGCGCTTAGTATACCGTTTGGTGTAAAAGTACGAAAAGAAGTTAAACGATATGTGGTCTTAAATCGTGTTGGATCAATTCTGTCACTGCAAAAGACTTTGCGAGTGTGGGAGAAGCATAAATTACTTTCCTCCACTCCAATGGAAAAGCAATCATACCCTACGAGCATAGTCGAGATACAAAGTGAGGTGGCCAGTCCGACGCGGACCAATTTTATCCAAGTGGGGACCGGCTTTAGCGGCTAGAGGACCGATTTTAGTAGTCCGGCGGACCGATTTTGGCTGCCAAAATCTGTCCGCCGGACGTTTTTTTGGCCCGGACCAATTTTGGCGTGACAGGCCTAATGACAGAGCAAGCTAGGGTTTAGGTACCTTCAGAGCTGCACTCTATCTGCCTGAAGCTATTATACCTCTGAATTCATCTGTAAATGGAGCAGGTCTCTTGTGAATACTAACGCAGATATTGTGATCATATATGCTACTTGTACATCTTTGATCTTTTTCTAATATTAACATAGCATCGAAAATCTTCCTAAATATGGTAGAGAAATTTTCACACGTATTGGTTGTGAGATCATGACATTTGCAATGTACCCATTTACAATAGTTTTGATGGCGTATGAAAATACGCTATTAGAAAATAATTCCCCAACTTTTTTAGGCCTATGAAAAGAGCATTCACAGGTACAGCGTGACTTAAAACAGCTAGGGTATCACGTTAGGCTAAAATTTTTAAGACATTGATTTAATATCATATATAAATTGTCCATATACAAATAAAATGTATCTAGAAAAGACAAAAGTCATCAACAAAAGGTCTACAATCAATCTAAGTTCCAATCATATTATTTAATATCGCCTGTTAAGCCTATAAATTTGATTTTAAAATATCAAGAATTGAGTACAGTACTCGTTACATTAATCAAGTGATAGTAAATTTGCGTGTGCACTAAACTGTGGATGGAAATCCATTCAAATCTTTTGCCACTCTGGTTCAATTCTAATCGCTGCTGCTCTTATTGCGATTTGGCTGGAGGGCTGGAATACGCGTGGTTGTAACGGTACCGGACCATTTTTCAGATGAGAATTACAAGTCGTTGGCAGCTTAAAGTGCAGGACACATTTTTAGAAACCGAATAAGGTCTCTGCCGAAATCACCATCAGAATGACTCCACTGGAATAAAGTATTTCGAACATTGTGGTGGTTCCTTGGAGTTTTACACTAAAACCGTGACAAAGATGTAGTTCAAGTGATGACTTCGTGTCTTATAATGTTAGCATTAGGTTTGTGCACTCCTTCCTGACTCTGACCAAGACCATCAGTAATCCAACTCTTTCTTTACCTTTGCCTGTTTGATGTAGTTTCACCACTATAAAACCACCAACAATAAATAAATAAATAAATAAATCAGCCTGAAGGCTTTGTGTAAAACATTTGTTTAGGGGTAGCGAACTAGAGTGAGGTACGCAACAATGCATATAAGAGCATGGCGTATGGGAGTAGAGCTCAAGAGCGTTCCAGCAGACGCCTTTACTAAAAATTTTGTTAAGCAATAGAAAAAAAAATCCATCAAAATATATTGTATTTTAAAAATGCAACACTTTTCTATTTATTCGTCTCAAATAAGACTCACTATGTTTGAGTTAGCCTCTCAAGTGTTTTTCAGTACCCTTTTGCTTAACCATATGGTTGTTTTTCGAAGAGAGAAATTAAATCGTCGACAACTGTAATCAAAATATTGAATTTCAGCATTAACAGACATACTTTTCACAAGTGTATCCATAAACCAAGGCTTCTTTCAGTTTATTCTCTTTTAATCTTTTCGTGCATTTTTTTTCTCTTTTTTTGAAAAACCTAGTTTTTTAAAGAAATTTGTAGATTTAGGCCACTGGCTGTGAATCAGAAAGACCTCCTTTACAATAGTCTTCAACAGCATCCCCTATACCCCAGCAAACGCCGATGTATATTTTGTTAATTCTCCATAAAAAGAAAAAAAAAGCAAATGTCATGCAGTGACCTGGGTTTGTGAGTCAAGCGCGTATTTCTGGCCAGTTGTTAGGTTTGGCTGACACTCTGGAAAACTACAGTATTGCAAAATAGGGATCAATAAATGTTCAAAACTAATTAAACACCAAAAACAAATCACAGAACAAATGCGTGTGCAGTTTTTTTTTCACACACCCGCATACCCACACCAACTACCTTCAGGACAATCCCAATGCTCTCTATCTACGTCTTTACTCATAGGAACCAATAATCATAATATTATCCAAAGGTTTCGAAAACACTGCGTTTTGCATAATTGACAATAAACAATTGAATAGTGTTTTACACAATGAAAACATTTAAACAAAAAACAGAACTTAAATTTTTATATATTTATTTCTACTTTTCAAATTACATATCGTTCAATCTGTTCTTACACTACATCCTTATAACCTTTCTCAACTCAATCCTACATCACTCAATTTTTAAAGCATAACCATAACGTTCTTTTGACAAACAGCATTTCTAAGAGTTGAGATAAACAAAGCATTGTTTGCTTACCCCACACAACAAGTAATTATTTCTCTCTGCAAATGTATTATAGATGACATAATCAGGTTTTTAAAAAGAAAAACTTAATAATCTATGCATGAATTTATTTGCAGAAAAATAATTTAAGATCTGGAAAAAATGATTTTGTTTTATTGAGCAGATCACAAAATTGTAAATATAGACAAAATCAAATTCTTACTAATTCTTATGTTTAAAATCTGATTATATAATGTTGAGTCTCTTCATATGTCAGTACATCTTAATTTTGTAGATAATTGTTGCATCAAGCTTTAGTATAAGTAAAAACTAAAAAAAAAAAGCTAAATATTTATATTTTTTAAGTTAAAAATTTTAAAATAAGATTTTAACACTGATGAATGCATAAGCTTTGTATATTATAAACAGATTATATTTTGTCATCTTTAATTATATACATTTGATTTAAATTCATCAATGGAATTGATTGCATTAAAATTAAGTCGCCAGTGTAATATAACAGTTAACACTAAATGTTACTACAGAGGGCTTCAACATAATAATATGTAATATGTCTGTCATTGGACACAAAAATGAAAGGAAAAATGAGCCTGAAATTTATAACAAATAAAGTGAACAACTGGGAAATATTAGCAGCTAATGCTGCATATAATAGTGCTTATGAAAAACAATACAACTTCCAATGCTGTTCATCATGATCAGACTGGATTGTAAAAGAAACTAGAAAAAACCCAGTTACAATTTACCACTGAAGTATTGAGTGTTTCTTAAATGTTAGTGGTAAAGCATTGGAACTTTATGTAATACTTTTAACCAGTGCAAATTGGTTCCTCATTGTTTGGAGTAAAATTAAATTGGAAATTGCTGTATATTATATATTACAGTTTTGCTAATACAGTAAAAGCTTTAAACAAAATATTAAATTCACAAATTTTATGCTTATCAGTTATTTTCTGTCATTGAGTAAATTGATGGTAATGGCTGGTAAAATATGAATTAATATTTATTTATTTATTTATAACAAGAAATTAAAGCAAACTATTAATTCATGTTGATCCTGTTTCATATACTTTTTATCATATTTAAAGCAATTTTAAAGAAATTTTTATTTTTGACTTGTGTGAAATGTTCCATTCAAATAGCACAACTGCTGAAACTTACAATAAAATAAGGAATTTGAATGTGGATTTATGCACATTTATCACATTATTACTTTGTTACATCACAAAATAATTTAATTTTGATTGCTGGCTGTTGTTACTAAATATATTTTTATACTACCATTCATATTTACCCACGCTTTCTTTAAGCATGATATACAGACTTAACTAACAGACAGAATGAATGAAAAGATGTATTTATCCTCAGTAATTTGATACATTATTACAATTTTCTAATGGATATCTTAAAACAATGTGTTAGTTTATATGAATTCAGAACAATAACTAAAAGACAAATTCACTAAAGAAAGTATACATTGAAATTGAAATTCTCCATTGTTATAGACCAACAACTTCCCTATAAGAACACATACATTGCTTAGTTTCTAAAGTGTCCCTGTACATGCTCTTCAAAAACCTCTTGGCTTGTATCTGGTGAGCAGGCAAAATCACACATTGGACATCGCTTAAAAGCATGTGTGGAAAGATGCTCGAAAAACTTCTGCTCGGAAAAAGAGGGTGGAAACACCAGCTGGCACTCCGGGCACTTTGAGATTTGTGCTTCCACAGGGAACTCATGTGCATCATGGAATTCTGCAGCAACATCTTCCCTATTAAATAAAAGATGGGTGTAATGATAATTATGATAGAGTACAAAATCATAACAATAATATCATAAATATAATTTCAATTTTATATTTCTAAACCTTTATGAATTAACACTTTATCAATTTAACAAAATAAATGTGTATATGTGTAATATTTGGGTGTATAACATCATCATGCATAAATACTGACACATCGCATAAATTTGTCCCATAAAATTTGATAGTGTGGACTGAATTTATGGTCTATCCATTTTTTTTTCTCTTTCATGAGATTACAAACACGGATCTCAAAAACGCCAGCAAATTGTATACTCTTCCAGGGGAAAAGAAGTTGTCACAGGAATGAGTATGTCTTGTACTGACTTAAAAATAATGAGAAACATGGATAACCCCGAAGTACATTTTTTTTTCTTACTTATCATCATCTTGTCCAGAGTTTGTAGGTGGAGGAGTATCTTGGTCTGGTTTTTCCACTGGAACCGGATCTAATTCATCAATCATATTCGTAGTTGCCTTTATCACATTCTTCATTGCAGCAATTTTTGCTTCAGGTGTGATCAATGGCTCCAATGGCTCTGGTAGGTTCATGGTTGGAGGATTCTTTGGAGGAAGAAGCGAGAGCTCCTCAGATCCATCAACATCTAGATTGTTGACTTCACTTTTGGGTTGAAAGACCACTACATGGGTTGTATCAGGTTCGTAAGGATTCTTATATACAGGCTGTGCATCTTTAGCATACGGGTTTACGTATATACTTGGTTGTGGTGGTACAGGTCTTCTGACAGTTTTAACTTCCTCTTGTGGTCGTACCTGAACAGTACTACTGGCGTTGCAAGAAATCTTGGAAACCTCAAGCTCTGCCTCCAGTTGTCGGATTGTCATCTAAAATGAACATAACATTTAAATATCTAGTCGTTTGTAAATTAATAGTAAAAATATTTAGCTTATAACTACTACAAATTTTGCAGTGACAGTAAACCTTCTGTGGTAATAGTGGAGACGCAAAAGAGTGTGAGGGATGGCAGAGAACACTCTGTTAAAAGAGACATTTTGTCAGGAAATACTTTTTGAGGTAGAATTCTGTCAGAAGTGGGTTGGTTGGCACTTGTCTAAAGCAACCACACTGCATTTCTAGGATCTTAATAGAAGAAGCTTACAGTACCTCTTTCTGTTGGTAAATGTTTTCAAAATCTTCTTTCATTCCTTCCTTTACTTGAGTCTCCTCCACAAGACGATTATGAAGGTCTTTCATCTGATCACTAAAGATTGCACACTGTTCCTCATTTTTTATCTTTTCTTCCTGTGAAACAAAATGAATATAATAAACTGATTTATAAAAAAAAAATCATTTAGGAAATGTTTAGCAGATTATTTTCAGTTTGTCTAATCATTATGAGAGCAGCTTAGCTCAGTCGGCTAATCTGGTGGTAGCCGCTGTGTGTGCGCTGAACCGTGGAGATCTCTAGGTCCCCGGTTCAATTCCCATCGCTGCCTCTCCTTGTGTTTCAGCTAGAGGGCTGAAATACAAGTTACATAGCGCACCGTCTTTCGGATGAGATGTTTAAGCCGTTGGTCCCATGTGTATTTATGGCCCATGTGTACGTTAAAGAACACAGTACACTCTTCGGAAAAGAGTAGGCGATTGTCTCCCGGTGTACTGCCCAATCACCACAAGAAGGACCCAACTTGAAATAAGTCTTCTTCTAGACTTTTGTAGGCTATCCTTGGTGTTTACACCGAATAAATGCAAATGCTATGACAGCACTGTATTCCAATATTTACAACTAACTTATCAGTCCTGAAACTACTGATAGAGTCCACCACATCGGGAACAATCAACAACTAGCAAAACCAGTCATTGTCTGACAAAGATCCGTTAACAATGGCTCAAACATCATTATTCATTTACTCACAAGAAAGTTTCAATGTTCATACATTCAAAAACCAGATGAAACTATTTGAGATTAGCACTGTATCTATTAGATAACAGCTACATGGACAGTACCTAAATACATATTGCAGGTTCTATAAACCAACAATTTTAAGAAAATTATTAAGTCACCTACTGCTCTACAGAATTAAAGTACTAAACAGTGAGCCTGCAAAATTCTAATTGGATTTTGACCCTAGACTTGTAGTGAAAGACACAAACCACTCCCCTCTCACCACCCCCATGAGAGTTGTCTATCAGTTTTTACAGAGAATGAAAAATGACTCAAAATATTAATTACTGGGGCCCATCAGCAAAAAAAAAAACAGGTCGTTAAGATAAGCCTGAATTACCTGATAAAGTTTCTTGTATTTCTTGATCTTTTGTTCACGTTTTGTCAGTTCTTCCTCCATTGTCTGCAGCTGCTGCTTGATTTCATTCATGTCAAAGGTCTTATCTCTGTCCTGTTGCTTCTGGTCTTGCATACCCTTCAATGCCACAGCAGGAATACCAGATTGTGTACCTTTGTCCATTGCTCCTCCACAAGCCTGTTGTAGCATTGTCGTTGCCTCTTCTATACCACACCAAAAAGATGTCAACAATTAAAATAATACAGTAGGCAAGTACGTTTTTGGAATTGCATATAAGTTATTAATGCCACGAAGTCATCAAGGTTGCTTAAAATGAACAGCAGATTACTTTATATATTTCATCCAATCCAACAGTGAATCATTGCCACTAACAGGCTCATATAAAAATCTTAACTAAAAACACAAACATAGATTTATTTTAAACAAAAAAAAAAGCTTATAATATGTGAAAAATAAGCTCACTTTTGACAGCTTCTTCTGTGATGTCATCTTTCTGTTGCTTCTTCTCTGCTTTGTTTAGCTTGCGTTGCAGTAGATGGCACTCTAGGTATTTGGCTTTGTATTCCTCAGCTGCCATTGCAAGTCGAGTCTTGTAATCATTCTTTTCCTGACATAAATCTGTCTTCTCCTGTTCAATGGTGATCTTATGTAAGGAGAACAAAAGGAGAGAACGTAGGAGGCAACGTCCATGATTATGTTTAAGGATTGCCTGAACAAGCATCTTTTCACTACTTAATTTGTCATTTCTTAGTAATTTCCTTAAAGTGTTACAGTGCTCTCTGAGAGATAATTAGGCCTATGGGGAGCTACAGTATATTCAAAATCTATGCCTATGCTGTTGCTGCTGTTGTTGTTACTTTTAATTCTGCAAATTATATTCAATTATGTAAATTCATAAAACAGAGAGTATGCAATTTTGACAGAGTGTACTGAAATATATTTATAATTTTGTGTTTATAACAGGCCATACCAACTTCTTCTCGAGTTCTACTTTTTCCTTGTATAACTGGTCGTACATAACTTGTCTCTTCTTCAATTTAGCTCTGAGGTCATCGAGAGCAACTTTCAGAGCTTCTGATGGACCCCCAGCAACCGTATCTTTCACATTCTTCTGGAGTTTCTCATGATCCTAAAACAAACATAAGTATTCAATATATAATTATTGCTATTATATAAGGCTTGCCATGCCAAAAAAGCGTACTGTTGTTACATGTTAAACTGAGTATTAGCATAAGAATATGCCAGTAGTGTATACTTTACTATAGAAAAGCCAACTTTTACTAATAACTTCGGAAGTATTAAGTGAATTCCAGTAAATGACCTACCATTTGAAAGCTTATTACAATGTGGAGAATACAAGTATATTAAAATGTCAATTTTTAACGAAATAGAAAATGAAAAACATATTATGCTGTTAAACTGTAAAGAAAATAATTCATGTTGGAAAAAATTCCATATCATGTTACAATTGTGCCTAAAGAAGCCTGATAAAGTAAAATGGATGAATATCGTACTTGCAAGCTGTGATAAGAAGACAAATGAGTTAGTTTCAATTTTAACTTTTTGTATATTTAAATGTAAAGAGATGTATAGACTAAATCTAGGGAAGAAATGTCCTTGGACAATGTTTACATCTGAGTTTAAAAGTCTTGTCACTTGTGAGTTTTTAACAAACAAAGAAAAATCCAAAAAAAAAGTGGTCAAATTTTGACTTTCAGAAATTTGGGAAAGCTTTTAATGTTGTTATTGTCAGGTAATTTTTGTTGTGCATTGGTTTTTGTTTATTTCTTTATAAATATAAATTGATGTGTAAAAATAGTATAAGTTACAAAAATACAAAAAAAAATGTATTTTGAACAAAAAAGTGTATGTATTGCTGAAATTTACAAGACAAATATGCATAAAGAATTATGATGTGCTATATGTGATGAATAATAATTTTATATTATTATGATTATGACATAATGTTTAACAAAAGGATAAAAATATAAAAATGAAAAAATAATAATAATAATAATAATGAGAAATTGTAAGCTCTTTTGAAAATGGTATCTGTGTATCTAAGGGCTTCTACAACCCGAGCGTCATTTTGTACAAGTTCTTGTATTTGTGTTAAATGAAAAAGTATTGAAATAAAAGTGGGTGATTCCCATAAAAGAGAGAAAAAAAAAGTCAATTTTCTTGTTTTGGTCAGTGATGCTGGCTTTGGCAGGGCAAAGCCCATATAAAATTATGATTATTATGGTTATTAAAAAAATAATAAATTATCATTATTATTAAACTTAATATGCATATAATGTATTACTTGAATCATTTTTAAGACTACCTGTAGATGATACATCAGTATAAGCAAGCTTTTAGAAAGTGCACACAGTATAAAAAACTTGAGCAAATAAGTATTTCAACCAGTCACAAAAGAGCAACTTTTTTCAGTTACTGTGTATAAGTATAAACTGGTACAGCCCACCATATTATTTAAGAGTACAGATATTAAAGTATTACTGGGATCAATCTAAATATCATCATTGTCATTTTTCTTACAATCGGCTGCGCTGTGTTCTAGGGCATTTTGTCATACTCAAGTCTGACAAAAACGAAACCTTTATCTTACAACATTGGGTTTGGGTAGACTATTGTTTTTTTCTCAAACGATTTCAATAGTCACTCAAAACAAAATTGAAAGACTTCATGTAGTAATATTAATTGTATGCCATCAATTTGGTACCAACATATGTTTAGTTTTTGTTTAGAAACCTGAATTATGTAGAAGGTTTACTATGCTTTGCTAAGCATAGTTATTAAAAATGATAAATATTTACTCATTAAAAAAAAAACTGTTTAAAGCAAAGAAGATTATAAATTAACTGCAAAGCACTATGCTTCATAACACTTAGAAAATGTACATGATAAGTGCACGGTATTACTACCAGTACCAAATATTTGAAGCTGATATGAAAAAATACACACCAATGTTTGTAATTTTAGGGCTTATTTGTGAATATACAAATTAATCATTTGAAGATGTGCTAGCTAAGATCCAACCATAATATGGCCATATGTCATTTGGAATGTAAAATACTGTGCGTGTGTGAGTGGGTGTGTGTGTGTGTGTATTTATTTTACCAGAAATAATGTTTGTCAACTCTCACCTTGGCAAGCTTGTTCATTCCCTGCCGCATAACCTTCAGCTGTTCCTGCAAGAGGGCCTCCTTCTCTCGAAAAGCATGTTCTTGTCTTATAACCTTTTGCTGGAGTGTAGCCTCTTTCTTCCTGAAATCTTCGCATGATTTCAGTAGTCTATCGTTGAGATGATCTTTTTCGATCGATGCATTCTACCACAAGATTAAATTACAAGGCATGAGCAGTGGAGTAACATAATGGTATGAGGCCTCTTGGTTAATTCTTTGGACGTTACTACCCTGGGGTCATGTAGGACCTCACTTTGGTAAAGTCAAATTTACCGTCTGTCAGGGGTTTTAATTTTTTTTTTTACATATTCTGCCCAGTTAGATTATTTTGGTGCCTATGGTATGGTCCTGATAAAAAAAATTGTAATATCTCAGAGCACCTTAAGGTCTCGGAGTCCTTGGCCTTATTAGCCAGTGGGAGTTTGAAGATGCAATTAATTATGAAATCGAATTTCTCAAAGTTAGAACTCACTACACTTTAACTGAATGATTTCAAATTTTTATTACCATGGTAAATTATTTTGACACAAAAGTAAATTTGTAAATAAATAAATGTAAATAAATTAAACAATTAAATATTTTTAAATACGTAGATAATTTCATATTTAAATAAAATGTAAAAATGTAATAAATATTATAAACAATTTAAACATAAAAAATAGTTAACAATTAAAAAATAAAGGAAATATATTATAAAATGAATAAATGCACATAAACATTTGAAATAATAAAATAACAATTAAATAAATATAAAGATATATAAATGAATATATATACAATTTAATAAAAAAGTAACAAAAGTAAACAAATAAATACACAATTGCAAAGTAATTCAAACCAGAAAAAATTATAATAATTTTTAGCAAAATCATGATTAATATATGTTAATTTTGCCAGTATTTACCTCCAAATCTTTTGAAAGTTTGTGTTGAACTGTTTTCAGTGTGCTTATCTCCTCTGTCAGCATGGTCTTAGTTTGTTTTGTAGCTGCCAGTTGACTTTCAACTTGCTTCAACCGTTCTTCATTGCTCTTCCAGTAATCCTACGGAAAACAAAAACTGAAACCTTGTGTTTTGTATCTTATTTTTCTTATTCCTTATGATTGTACTGTATTCTGATTAATAACTAATTATCTTAACAATTACTTAACAGTTTAGCCAGTGAATTGCAGTATACACAATTTTTGCTAAATTGTAATGAAAATTTCCGATAACCTGGAAACTACCACTGTGAGGCATTCAGTGGCCTAGGCATTTTGCTCTACCTAGTTACCTGCCAGTGTGTGCGGCCCTTTATTTGCTACTAGCTAGCTGTTCAGCCTAGGCTAGGCCGCTGGATATCCCCAGTGAAAAGTTGATAGAAATAGACCCGATAAAACGGTGTATATCTAAAACTCAAGTTTTATCAATTCATAATTTTATGATGCAATCATTTGTTTATGCTTACTTTTTCTACAAGATAACTGCAACATAATACACTATAATATAAATATGATACCGTAGTGCCTCTAAGCTCCCCCCCCCCCCTTGAACACAAAATTGGGCCGATTTTGTGGGGTTGGGCTTATACCACGGGGACTTCAAACAAAAGGCAATTTAAAAGTGGAAGAGATCAAAGCAGCCTAAATACATAAACAATGGCAATTCCTCTGAAAATTTTACTCCATTGTTTAAAACACTGACTTTATGACTTACCCTGTCGGCTCTTGCAACTAGAAGTTGTTGTTCAACCTTTTTCTTCTCTTCAACCTGCATAAGTTCTAACTCGCTCGTCTTGTTGGAATGAAATAGTAGTTTTTGTGTCAAATCGTCAACCTTCAGCTCTAGTGCTTTGACTTCTTGCTCAGATAAGCTGAACTGATTCTGAAATATTCAATATCTAATGTTAAATTACAAAAAAAGCAATGAGGTGAACTTTTCAGTATAATATACAAATAGAAATCTAGTACATAAATATATTGAAGTAAATAAGTAGTAAGTAACTTTATTGCTTCTCTTTTATAACAGAGGCACAGCCGTAAAGACGTGCAACAATAACAAAATCAGTAAAAACTTAATTACTGTGATAAAATATAGTAAGAAAATACTGTGGTAGAACGAAATATAAATAAAAAAAGGGTTTACAAAAATAGTAATAGAGATAAAAATAAATACTAATACTAATAATATAAGTAAGTTGGTTAATACATCACTTATACACACATACATATACACATACACACAAACATATATATACACATATATATATATACACATATACATATATATATATACAGTATACATATACATATATATGTATACACACACACACACACACACAGGCTTACATATACATACATACACACACAATACATACATGCATAGATGCACACACATACACACACCCCTCCCACACACATATTCACACATACATACATACATATACACATACATACACAAACACATATATACATATAACAGAGTAAATATTGTAAATTTAATTCAAACATTAAAACCAGACATATTAATCTTGCAATAGAAAAGTATTATATATATCATTTCGTTCTTTCCATGCCATCGTTAAAAGTAATTTACAATGATTATCAAAAACTTTACTCGCAATAGTATAATTAATAGGGTTTATACAATTTGTTGTTAAAATTTGATATTCGTAATGGATTTCTAAATCATCAAACAAAAGATGGTATTTAAGTTCAGGGGAGCTTGATGTGAAGATGTGTATAAGAGACAGGTATTAGGCTAACTCCTCTTTAAGTTGGTCAAATATTAAAGTTCTAATGTTCTTTAATCTGGTACAATCAAATACAAAATGATTGATGGTTTCCTTTGTCACGCAGTCACATAATAAGCATAAGCCTAAATTTTGAGGTAAAATTTTGAAGTAAAAATTCTTTAAATTTTTTTTAGGTATATAATACAAAATAATTTCCTTATGTAACCGAAAGAAAGTAGCTCTCCATGCCCTAAATATCACAGGACAATGTTGGCCAGTGCCAAAAGTAGGAATTCCTAGGCAGGAAGGCCGAATTCATAGATTCATTAATTGTTCCAATTGGAGGTATTTTATGTTTCAGAAAATCATTAAAATTAGTCTTCCAGATAAGAACCATTGAAATTTTTTTCAGGCCCCTCATCCCTTCATCGTGACAGGGGACCTTCAGTGGTCTCCTGGCCCCCAGCTATGGGCTCGCTTCGATCGCATTAATTCCACATGACTAAAGCGGTGCTGCTATTTTTACCTTATATTGGTCCTTTTCTTGAGTTACTCCCATTAGTTCAGTAGCTAGCTGAGCCTTGACTGAACTTAGATTATTATTAGAAGCAACGACCTCCTTGAGGTCAGCTTCAGTGGACTCTAGCATGGTCTTGTGTCGAGCATTCTCTTCCTCAAGTTTCTTGATTCGATCAGATGCCTCACATAGCTTGGTTTCCAAGAGTTTTGTTTGCGTTTCTAAGCCAGTTAGCTTCAACAAAAGCTCCTATAGCAATGAAAAGATAAAAAACGACATCTTAATGGAGCAATTATACCATAAGCTATGCTCAATATAATTTTTATATTATACAATTATTCCTATCAACAGGTGCAAGATTAATAACAATTATAGTATTACCATCTTTGAAATACTCCTGCATTGTTATGAAGCGTTTAAAACATTCCGTGTTAATTTCAAGACTGTACAAATTCAAGACTGTTTTTGAGATTGTAGGTAGTGGGGGGGGGGGGAGGGCTCTGACAGTAAAAGGAAATATAGACTGTGAGAAGGCGATTTTAATTTTATAATATAGTTCTTACAGAGTGGGACGCGACAATCCGTGAGTGTTGGAATAGTGTGCAGGTTGAGGGCTGTTTCAAAAGTATACTAGTTGACATGAAGTACACCCAATGCCCTCTTTTGAATTGATGGCGGTCTGAACTTTTTTCCTTTGTCAGACAAGACCCCTAAACAGTACAGCAATATTCCAACACGGGTCTGATCATGGCAGCAATTAATTAGATCATTAGTATAATCTAGGACTACATAACAAGATAGTTAACATTGGAAATGCTCAATTTCTGTATTTTGTGCACATGTTACAGTATACGCATTGGAACTGTGTAGGTGAATTTTTAATAATAAAAATAATCATCTCGGCAGACTTTTTACAATTTAATTTCATTCCATATCAGTCAAACAAGTGATTATTTCATCCCCCTCTGAACTGACTACCAAAGAGAATTTTTAAAAGAATATTTTTGTTTGTTGTTGGGCTATGAGGAAAACCCATTAGGGCAACCCCATCACATAGGCTCTTCTGTTTTTATATAGCAAAATATATTATCATATATATGATAATTTGGGTTTATACTGTAAATATTATAAAATAGCAAAGTAATGCATAGATATGTTACAGAGTACAGGTATGTGATTAGTCGAACTAGACAAAATACATGTCAACTTTTCATTGGAAATCACAGGAGTGAAGTTGTCCAATTGTCTGTATGTTACTTTTATAGGAGACTACAATTAAGGGGCCATTCAACATTATCAACACTTTCACAAGTGTACGAACAATACGCTAAGGGGAGGAGGTAGACAAATTTGTACACTTTTACATAATTTTTTGATTCAAAATAACATGCAATATGTAAAATAATGGTAAAATTATAATGTAAATACTGTATGGATATGATATTCATTTTTAAGTAACCAAGTACATTGCTTTAGTTGACTTCACAAAAAATGGAGAATCCATGGTTTTGCAAAATCAACATTTTAATGTACACTTTCAGAGGGGAGGAAGGGGTACCGATAAAAGTACTGTTTATACACTTGTGAAAATGTTGATAACTGTGAACGACCCCAAAGTATGAAAGAAAAAGAGCTAATACGAAAAAATTATATGATTGAACCAGGGATCACAAATTGGAGAAGCCACTTCTGAGAATCTGTTTAAAAGAACTTTAACACATCTAAAGATGGGTTACTTTCTGGGAGATTCTTGTTTGCTCATGGGAGAGTGGGACGCTTTTCCGATTTCAAGGAGACTCACGCAACTTGCAAGAAGACTTGGGACCCCTGTGAACACTCAACAGTTAACATACTGTACCTCTTTTGTTCTCTTCAGATCTTCTACACTGGCATCACTCATTGCCAGAGCTTCGGAAGTCTCTGCAAGTTTTTTTATCAGGTCGTCTTTAGCCTTCACCAGCTCTTGCTGATCCAGCAGTATCTTCTCCTTTTCATCCATAGCACGTTTCAGTTTCTCTTCCTGAATAATGGTCTTAGACTGGATCATCAGCATATCATCGTACTCATCGTCAATCTCAACAAAGTCTACATCAGTCAAGTGGAGGAACTGGAAGGGCGTGCTTGCTCCTTTCATCTTGCCTGCTTTGTCGATGTAACAGAACTGATAAAACTCTCCATCATCTTTAGGCAGATAGTAGGCTGTACACAAAAATAAGGAAAAGAATCATCACAAATTGACATTATACTCAACTCTAATTCCAAACTACTATCCAATAAATTTAAAGTTCAATTAAAAAAAAAGGGCATTTGGTGTTTAGTAACAAACAATAAGGCGTGATCTACAAATTATCACCAATGACAGAAACACGTTTACTATTGTTATATGACAAGCTCCCAAACACGTCTGTGAAATGCCGTTTGGAAGCTTGTCATTCGAGCCGTTTATTCTGTTTGGAAGTTAACTCCTCCCCTTTTCATATGGCTGACTGCTCGTGAATGGCAAATGTTAAACGCGTTCAGCGGAATTTGGAATTTGATCGTGATTTAAACAACTTCAAAACTTGTTCAGTGTCCCTACCGTACCTAGGCTATGTAGGCCTAGGCCTATATTTATAATAGTAGTAGCCCGGTAGTAAAATGCTAGCCTACGCTAGGTGACAGTTCACGAAGAAATGTTTATAATAAATGCCTAAATTTAATTATTTTTCTTGTTGGGCAAACCCCAATGTTTCTTGGATTTTTAGTAGGCTAGGCCCTACTGTTACCTGTAGGTTTTATAGAAGAGAAAGCAATCGCCAGTAACCTTCCTACCCAGATGCGATGTTCGAATTGACCTATCAAAACAAGTACCTTTTGCCCAACTTTCCAATTCCCACGTGCCTGCACAGCCCGCACAATACAGCATGTAAACACTGACCTGGATCAGCCGCAGTTGAAGAAGTTCGTTGTGGCGATCATGTGATATCGCACGTAGAACAACGTATGCTACGGCATTGTTTGTTTTACTGTGTAGGCTATATGAATTTAATACATGTTTGTATTATTATATATATTATTATACATGTTTTAAAAATGGTTAAACCATCATCCAGCAATGGTATTCTAGTATATCACTGTACTGCTATTTTAATGTTTTCATGTAGGCCTACAGTGAATGCATCAACATCTACCATGTTGATATATTCACTATTATATTCAATAAATATTTTTGTATCGCCCCATGCGTATCTTATTTTTCTGATGTAGCCAAATGTATCTAGAGGAAGAATAGGGAAGGCCTCGTATATCATTTTTATCCATGTACACTATAAATTATATACAATACTTGTATTTAATGGGCCTAAATAAATCATCGGGAATATGCATCGATAACTTAAATAAAATCACGAGGCAAATATTAAAACAGTGTAAATATTTATTTCATTTCCTTTAAATAAAATCACGAGGCAAATATTAAAACAGTGTAAATATTTATTTCATTTCCTTCAACTTAACTTATATACAATGAAACAGATTCTATCTTGTTGGCCTACTGCCTGCTAGTCTCCCCTCTCCAATGCTGAATGAAGAAGATCACTACATGACGTTTCACAAGGTCATGGACGAACCATCTTGGGATACAACCGACAAGGCAATTACTTCACCTATAGGTCGATGTCGGTTTTGTCCGGCATACACATTTAATAGCAATGCAGAGGTAACTTCGCACAGGAGGAAGTATCACCCAAGACAAGATGTTTTAAAAGAATAGAGAATATGTCTTTCAATACCCTGAAACCTCAGAAATACCGGGATGGTGTCCGGCTGGGGATAGTTTTTACTACCATAGTTTAACTTTTATCTATCAGAATCTAGCCCCGAATCCTAGACTCATGTATTTAAAGCGGCCTGAAGCATGTGTATACAGCATATATTTGTATTTTTTGTCGATGGATAAATAAATGTCCGAATATAAGAATTGAATACTGTTTTCTGTACACTACTGTTTGTTTGGGTCAGTTAAGAATTAGCACCTAATTAGGCCTATTATTTAATGAAATACAACGGTACACGTACATTTACTTGTATGTTTTATTTATATTTTGACATTAACATAGGCCTTTAACACTCAATATTATTTTTATTTAACATAAGCCAATAAACAGCTTCCACACATAAAATAACAATAGGCCTAACCAATAAAAATATATAAAATACAAAACAAGATTTATGCAAGATTAAAAAAATTAAACTATACAGAAGTCGCCGCCCGGTAAGCAGAAAAGGCCATACTTTAAACTGGCATCCATCACTCCATCGAACGTCCTATTGTTAGCATCTCAACTGACCCACTTCTGTCAGAGCGGCGCTCAAAGCGAATTTCTATAGACCACGGAGGAAAGTTCGTTCCTCCATGTATAGATCAACACCGGCCACACAGTCAGTGTCATTTGTCACGTGATGTTGCGTACTCTGTTGGACTGATCACATCCACACACACGAGGTACCCAATATTAATTGTACAGTAGTTGCATAGGCCTAGTTGCTGTATATAATATATATTGATGCCTACTTGATGCCTACGTTTAATAATAGAGAAAATAGATGTTCTATTTTCTCTATAGTTTATTGAATGATGTTTGGCGAATACTGGCGTCCATTTGTGTTCCCATGTAATATGTGTGCAGGGAGTTGATAAATGTTTCTTCGTTCGTCGTCAGCTTCTCAGCAGGTAGGCTGCTATTTAAGGAAGATAGGTTTTTCCGACAGAGCAAACGGCAATTAGGCCTACATGCATGTACTGCCATTATCGTCATTTACCACTTAATTTAACTATTAGGACTATGCAGCCTTTAAACTTTGAACTTGGTTCATTTCAAAGTAAAACTTGTTCAGTATTTTAAATTGTACAAAAACGGTAGTTCAACCGGGGCCTGGTCTAACGACACAGACGCGTTTGTCGCCCAAAAATAGAAACAATGGCAAACGCGTTCAACAGCACAAACCCGTTTAGATGCGTCTGGGACATATTCCGACTAGCTTATTAATATTCATGAGGCACGATAATTAGACGATCGCTTTCCCAGATGCGTTTGTAATACATGGTTTTCCCAAACGCGTTTCTGTCTTTGGGGATACAGGTAATTTGTAGATCGGGACTAAAATCTCCAAGTATGAAAACAACAAATTATTACTGATAAAAGAACAATAAAGCAAAGTTCAGCAGGAACAGCTAACCACTTTTCTGGATACCAACTGGCGGATTCAAAGGTACGAAAGGTACCCTTGAAGGAATAACTTAAAACATTGTTTTGTATTAGGCCTACATATTGGAAATATTCATGTAATTAATAAATTAAAAAGTTTCTTTCTTATAGTTTTAAAAGTATATTAATTTAACAAATCTTACTGTAGGCCTGAATCAGTTAGCATACAAATACCACCTTAGGGTTGTCACTATACACGTTTATGACTTATTGTTCATCACTCTGTGATACTTGTCATTATAAAATAGCCATATTGAATGTACTTACAATTGAATAGAATGCTCAATTTATACTCCTGGCCGTCCTTCCAATCAGCTGGCACAGGTGCCCAGTCATAGGTAATCTTCTCTCTGGTGGAGGACCATCCGATCTTAAATAATCCTACCCAGTCATTCTTATTTGGCTCAATGGACTTGGTCAGAGTGTAACTGCACTGAATGTGAGCCTCTGGAAACGAAACAGGCATTTATCATTAAATATTAAAACCAGTGGCGGATCCAAGAATTCAAAAAAGAGGGGGCTCAGGGAGGTAATTTCAGAGGATCTATAAGAAATCTGTGATTATGGCATATCTATATGGCCAGAATTTGCACTCTTAGACTTAAAATTTTAATATCTTTATCTTCATTTTCCCCCTTCCCCTTGAATCCACAACTGCACGCTGTACAGTGTCTCAATATGAATTTTCTAACATGTTTGAAATCATGTGTAAAAAGAATGATTTGAAGCTCTGTCTACACTATCAAATTTTATGTGACAAAAAAAAATGTGATGTGCCCATACATTGGGCATGATGACATCATACCACATAATTTCAAAATGTATCACAAAAAGTGAGCATGTTCAACTTTGCACAGAAAGCAAAGGAATTTGGTGCTGAGGGAGCCAATATATTGGGACAAAGGAAGAACATAATATTTTGATACAGAGCAAACAAAATATTTGGAGCAGAGAGAATATTAAATATATTTGGTGCAGAGGAATAGAGTAGGGGAATAAGCACAACCTTAAAAAAACTTGCGCCCTCTTGCAGTCTACTCACCCCTACCCCCCATTTAGAATGTTCGAAGCAAAAAAAAATCACACTCAAGTACATAAAAATCATCTCATATCATCTTATTTTGCAAAATTGCACCTCCTCGCAGATGAGCACAGAGCACAGCGGATAGCGCCGCTAGACCTTTGCTATAGCAGCAGTAAACAGATACAATCTTGCTCATTACTGTAACAGCAGTATGTAAACATTGAAATAGCTTTTTAAGACTTAAGACTTGTTTTTAATATAAACATTTCATGTTTTTTTGTTAGTAATTTAGCTTTTATCGTTGATTTAATCTATGACGGTAACTACGTAGAGCAAAATGCTAGGCCTCTGAAAGTCCCCCAGTGGTAGTTGCCAGGTTATCGGAAATTTTCATTTTGAATTTCGTGAAAATGGTCTATTACTAAATTCATCTTTTCCTATATAAAGGTTAAATATACACAGTCTGCCAAACAAAATTGAAAAATACCACAAAAATCTAATCAAAAAATGGAATAGCTCATTTAAAAAATCAGATAAGGTATTATTTCCAACCAAAATAAGATTGAAAAAAAAAAATTAGTTTTCTCTGATTTACAGTTAACATACACCTTTCTACAAAAATTATTGATTCATTTTACATTCAAATATTTAATTGTAAGTTAATAACTAAATATATTAATTACAGAAAGTGTTTTTATGTAAACTAAACATATTTTATTAGAGTTTGGTAGTAATTTCCATTCCAGTATTCAGTTTTGCTTTCTGTAACTTTATGTTCTGTTCTGTGAGTTTCATTTTAGTGAATAATGATTAAAGTTTATGTTGTATTATAATTTTAAATGATATGTTGTATTATAATGTTATTCCTGATGATGCTTGAATAAAAGCAAAACACTAAATAAAATTGCCTTGTCAATTTTTAGGGTGACCTTTATTTAAATCAGATTAAGAAATTCAAATATGGAATTGGATTTTCAAATTTTTATTTTAGGTTATGACAGACAGCGCATAGTATCACCATGGAGGTATAAATATACCTCCATGGTATCACAAAACTATTTCCTTCAGGCATGAAGACCAATGGTCATTACTTGTTAAACACAGCAAACCAATTAGAGTACTGGTATGGAACAAATCAAAGGACATCCTCTACTAATAAATTTCCTGTCTTGGTTGTTTGGAATGTAGCAATATGCAAAACAAGCTATTGTTTGCCTACAGTCCCCATCAAAAACCACTTTATCAACCTCTATTTTCAGACCTTGGTTTAAAAGAAGCGCGATCGCACGGGTGCTCCTTAGCGCTCCTCAACACGATCTAAGGAGAGCATCAAATAGCGCTCCTTGATTTATTAGTGAACTAAAACAAATGACAAAAATTGTATGTTAAACGTTGTCTATAATCAAAATCTATCAATTTTTGCATTTAGCGCTAAATCATAATTATATTTGATAAAACAACGTTTATTTACGTGGATTTCATGCATTCTTCCATACCTTGGAGACATTGTGGGAATTCCCAAAAAAAGGTAAGCCTAAAACCAACTGGTGAAAAATTTATTTACAATGTGTGTATTAATCATAGTCAAAACATATTTATACCCCATTTGAAAATGGATGGTTCTAAGTCGCCCACTACTCGGTGCATGCACGTGGCCTCTGGAGACTGGCATCACTTGCATGCAAACTTGAGATTCGGTTCCCGTTTCTTGCACGCAACGATCGAGGTAGCGGTTATAAATATATCATAAAATAAATCAGATATATTTTTAACATCGCAAGTTAAATTTTAATAGTAAACAAAATACAGTATACATCTCTCGATTCAGAGGACCTAGAGTAGAATTTACACCACTAACAATAGAAATGATATGCATCTCCATCATATCATAGCCTAGCCAGTAAACTGTGTACAGGTAGGCAACTTAATTTTATACTTAAGCCAGCATGTAACAACAATAACAATTATTATTCAAAACATAACGATGTGTTTTACCAAAATCTGACTAAGTTTATAACAAAATTAATAAAGAAAGACAGTACGTACATAACGTAGGCCCTAGGCCTGTGTGTTTACAAAATTTGATCGTACTTCGCGATTGTACGCCATGACCTGAGGACCGGGACGAACTAGGCTAAAAACTAAAGAAGCATCAATATCTTTCAGCTCTCCAAAAATCGTACCGTACATTAATATATTACAAATCACAAATCTAATTAAAATGTACAGTAATAGGATCAGACATAATTTATGTCTACTTTCTCAAATTTACTGTATATTTGGAACACATAACTTTTTGGAGGTATGATTTAAAAGGCTGCTGAATTACTGTAGGCTGATTTTGCCATTGAGACACACACAGAAAATAGGTACGAAATACCTGGAAATACCAAGGGGCAGATTTTATTTAAAAGCCATTATTTAAAAAAAAAAAAAAACATTATAAAATGACCCAGAATACACATAAAAACTACAAAGATATAGAGGATGGTAAAAATCAGATTTTTTTTTTTTTTTTTTTTTTTTTTAATTTTTTTTTTTCTTTTTAAGTTATGGTCCTCTAAAAATGCTCCAAATTCCAATCCAGAAAAATATCTTTTTTCCATAACAAGACCACCCCCTCCTTCAAATAACGTCATCGATTTTGCACAAATTCTGAGGAGAGGTAATAGTGCTTGAGACTCGTCGGAGAGCTATTTGTAGCTGTATTTTAAAATTTATAATTACTCAAAATTTAAATATAATGTACACTGTTAAATATTTCATTGACCTTTGCACTACCGTGTTTAGGCAGCACTTTCCTAGAAAGTATAAAAAACAGGATCTCAATCAATGTTTACTTTCACATTGCAAGTCAATGGCTGACAAATGTCTACAGAAGGCCAGTACTACTAGTATAGTACCAGAAAAAAATGCCCCAAATGTTATAATCATGAGGTTTGATTTGATTATATTTAAAATCAATTCAAACACAATTTAATGAACAAGAAATGCATACGAAAACCACTTGAACCATGGATATAGTAAAACCACCAAAAATTTGAATATTGTATACTTATTTTACATTTCCTGTATTCTCTTACAGACCCTATTTCTTAGTAATTAATTTAAGGATTTTTGTAGTACTAAAAAGTTTTTCTGGTTGAAAGTTAAAACTTTGCGATACTGTACATCTAAATGAGCTATTTAAACTTTTAAATGAATTTCAATGATATTTTCCAATTTGATTTTTTTTTTTTTTTTTGGCAAATCTTTAACAGGACAGCTCTGTACAATACCTCTTTTGCTTGACAGCAGATTAAAATATTTTATTAGGTTTTTGAAAGTTGTCTTTAAGAGTTATTCCCACTAGCAGAAGCTCTAATTACCATGTTCATTTGCTAAATAGCTGCAGTGGCATATCCACACCCCCATCACCCCCAAAATCATGCTTTAAAATCACCTTATTTTGCAAGTTAGCACCCTCTAACTAATCATTGAGCTCCCCAATTCACCTTGCTACCCCATTAGCCGCCCACATTTCAAGATTGCTAGATACAGGTTCACCACCGATTTGCTGCCTACCTGGTGGGTAATTTTCTGAAACATTGTGGAAGATGACTTGAGCAAAATCCATGGTTTGGTTCGACTCTTGCGAATCCATCTTCAATTCTCTACTGTGTTGGCTGTTTCCTGCCTCTAAATTCTGTTCCGGGTGTCTACTACTATATACGAACCTAGAAAGAAGCAAGAAATGTTGCTTTAAACATCATGTAACAGTAGAACTTTTTTATGTACGGTACAGGTTGGGTTAAATTTGTATAACCTTTGACCTAACATGTATGCAAGACTCAATAAACATAGATGTTACTCTACCTACATGATACACGATATCATAACAGTGTACAATTAAAACCACAATTTTTGAAGCGTTTTTACTCATCACCTTACAAAGACATAATGTGTCTTTGCTCTCGCACATGGCAACATCTGATGAGATGAGTTTAAAAATTGAATAAAAATAGAAAAAATAAAGTTTCTTTACTTTTTCTTTTTGTTGTCAATTCCTAATAAATGTAAATATGTCATATGTGATTTTCATCCATGTAGCTTCCATATTTTTGGCACAACAAAAATAAATATAACCCAAACAGTGTATTAAGATAGCCTTTCTGCCTCCAGTAGCGCGCCGCCAGTGTTTCAGTCAGGTCCAATGTAAACATTGCAAAGGGTCTACACATAACATATACAACCCCAGCGCAAAAATTGGGCCTAGAATTCCGTTCGCTCAATTTTGAAAATAACAGTCGATTTCCACAATTTTCTCCAAAATTTAGGCCTTAGCCTATCTCTCAATGTACAACCAATGTATAAGCATGTAATTACGATTCCGTGCACCTATTTTCCAATTCTTGTTCAGGCTGTTTTTCTATTACCCTAGTATCCTAACTATTACTAAATTTTAAGAGTACTGTTTGAAGGTTAGACCCATTTTATTGTTTCACTTCACTTTTTGGAACCAGTCACAATAAATTATTCATTTTTATCTTTTGAATGAGACGAAGGCCTATGTGAAATCAAAAAGGATATTGCATGTTAGCAATCGTTTCATTGAAGATGGCAAAGGATTTGCCAAAACATGCATTAGAGTTTTAATAATAAAATCTATTAGGCCTTGACTATTGTATTGAGCTTGAAAATTATTGTGGCATTCTTAATATGTATTTTTTGTCTGCTGCTACACAAATCAAAATCTGTGAATATGATTTTGTGTCCAGATGAATTTAATTTTTGGGGCTGAGTTCACACATTTTGCGGGCGAGTTGACCTTGGGTCGTATTGAATTGGGGCCAAGGGTTTAGCCAGAAAAACGAAATAGGCTGTCCAAAATGGAAGTCAGTGGGCATGGTAGTGAGTCGATGGGAATCCCCACCGAATATTGGTATGAAAATAACGTACATTCAATCAATAAATGTTGTTTTTATCAAACTTAAATTTGATTTACTTTGTTTAATGTAACATTCAATAGATTTGAAGAATATAAAGAATTTGCTAAAGGTAGACCAGGCCCAATTAGGCTAGGCTGAGCTGATTAGGCCAAGCCGTCCAAGCCGTCATGGTAATTTAAGTAAGTGGCCGTCCTAAACAATTGTAGGCCGTTCAAAAGACGGCCGGATGGCTCGCTGGCTAAGCCTGTGCTTGGGACCGAACTGACTCGGGTACAGTCAACTTGGGGCCAAGTTGACGTGGACTCGAGCTGACTTGCAGGTGAACTGACTTGGGGCACAGTCAATGTGGGGCCGAGTTGACGTGGGGCCAAGTTGACTTGGGGCGAATTGGGGGTTGGTGTGGAGTTGACTTGGGTTTGGGTGGAGTTGACTATGGATGGGTTGATTCAAATTCGTCTGAAGCTATAGAGAATGACTAGGCCCTAGGCTAGGCCTACGTATGTGATGAATCATTTCTTTTGTCCACAATCTGGCTATTTTACACGTCCTTAATCGCCATCAAATAGAATAACCGGAGACAAATTCCAGAATTGTCTTATCCAGCCAGGCATAGGCCTACTGCTGCGGTAGTTACATGAAAAATATTATAAATATAACGATTTAGGCTTTCACATGAATGTTTGAAAGTAAGGAGTATAGCCTAGCTGCGAAGATTCTTATCCGAGCAAATCTCAATCTGCTTTATTTTTGCTTCGATTTGGCTTGCTTGCTACTGTAGCCTAGGCCTAGACCTACTTGATACGGATACCGATAGTTGTTTATCTCCTAAAAAACATTAAAAAGTAATAATTATTCACTAAAATTAAACTCTAAACAGAACATATAGATACACAAAGCAATCCTCATTATTATTAGAATGGAAATCTCTACCAACCTTGGATTTAGAATGTGTTAGTTAATGACATAAAACACTGGATTCCCGATTGTTCTTCTTGTTATTGCGAACAATTCAGAAAATAAACATGACGACATTCTTGATTTTTTTTTTAGTAGATTACAATTAGTGGAACACTTGCGGATCGGAGTGGTCGCTATAAGAATACGAGAGGAAATTTTTCAGCTTGTAGTAAGTAAAGATAGTGTACACTAGCGTTTTCCTATCTGTTTACCTATCAGACTCGACGAATAGTAAAATAGGGGTTTAATATGGATTTAAAGGTTATAGAATCTAGATATTTGAAATCATCCCCGATCATCATAATTATAATTCAATCTTACAATTAGGGTATAACATAAAGCATAGCATTAGTAATAATATTGTAGTGGGAGACTAAATTAATACTATTTATATTTTTTTCATAACAAATACTTTCACATGAACATCAATGCGAAAGGTATTATGGCTTTCTCTTGTTTTACATCTGATGCAATTATTTATATAGGCAGAATACCTTTCGACTAAATGCATAATATTTATAGGATGTGTTTACAGTAATACATTATTGTGTAAAAACAAACTTCAGTACTGTACCATTACTGTTATTGTTTATCTTATTTTTGTATCGCTAATTTATATGTATCAGGAGTGGTAGTGCTAAGTGGCCTCAGTGATTTTTCATCTGCTGCAATGGCGTATGAGTCTTGAAATGGGGAAGGGGAATGATAGGGGAACGCGAAGGTCAAACAGACAGAGGATCCGATGAATAAGTGAGGGCCCTCGTCGCAATGCGATTTGAGGACACTTTTGGGGGTAGGGCAACCGTGATGCTGGCGGAGGTTCAATTGGCGCCAGGATGGTGGGGGTAGGGGGGGGGGGGGGCGTGCAATAGA